ATGTGGTTTTTTTTATAAAATGGATTACTACTCAGTCATAAAAAATGAGAAATTAGAGACATTTATAGCTAAATGGATGAACACTGAAGCGATACTCTTAAGTGAATAGGACACACGTGTACTGAATAATTTCTCTAGTGTGAGAAACTGAAAGTGTAAATAAGGACTAAAAGGTATAATAGATGTGAAACAGGAAGAAATGGAAAAAGGGAAGGGGAAGTGGGAGGGGCAGGGGAAAGGAAAGAAGGAAATGGAATTAATATGAGAAAAGGAAAAAATGGAAACAAAGTCTTTGTAAATAGGGAGGGGTGGAGGGGTTGAAGGGAGACCAGGGGAATGGGGAAAAAAATAAGAACCAAGAGAAATTGTGTAAAGGTGCAAATTCCCAATAATAAATGTCATTATATTGTATACCTAAAATGTACCAATAAAATTAATTTAAAACAAAAAAAGCGGGAGAGAGGCCTCAAGAAAAACCAACCCTCTCCACAACTTCATCTCAGATATGAGCCTCTAGAATTGTGAGAAAAAAGGTGTCTATTGTTTAAGCTGCCCAGCTTATGGTACTTTATTAGGAGCCATTAAATTAAAATACAATCATTTTTTAAAGAAAGTAGAACCAGGGGTCTAGCGAAGTAGCTCAGTGGTAGAGAACTTTCCTAACATACATGAGGCCATAGGTTTGATTCTCAACACCACTCCCCCCAGAAAAATAATAATAATAATACCCAGGCACAGCTGACCTCCATATCCACAGGTTCCACACTTGTGAACTCAATCAACTATGAATCAAAACTATTTGAGTGAAAAATTATGTACAGGCTTTTTTTCTCATAACTTCCTAAACAACACAATATAACAACTATTTTACATAGCATCTACATTTGTTAGATGCTACACATAATATAGATGATTTAAAGTATACAGGATATGCATAAGTTACGTGCAAATACTATACCAGTGATGGCGAACCTTTTAGATAAAGTGCCCAAACTGCAATCCTAAACTCACTTATCGCAAAGTGCCAACACTGCAATCAAACCTGAATACTGAGGTTTTAGTTTAGAGAAAAACTCATACATTAACATCTTTTGTCCTAAAACACAGTTAACACACATGCCACAGGTTTTCCACCACTGTACTATACATGTAAGGACTTAAAATATCCACAGATTCTAGTATGCTCAGGGGATCCTGGAAACAGTTCCCCACAGATAATACATAATAACTGAGTCCACACTGAATGTCTATTATGACAACAACTGTGCTGGGTTCTGTGCCACAGTACTGCCCTTGTGGAGGTTATACCCTAGAAGTCTTAGGCATAAAATTATCCACACAGTTCTAACCAGACCCAACATTCATTTATAAGAACCAATTTCTCACAGGGATTTAGCTCAGTGGCTCCATGCCTGCCTTACAAACACAGGGTCCTGATTTCAATCCCCAGTACCAAAAAAAAAAACCAATTTCTTAGATTTAAGCTTTATTTTCCTGCAGCATTATGGCTGAATAATTAGTTCTAATTGTGAAGAAATGATTATAAATATATTTATATAATACTTATGTAAGCATATTATATATGTGTATATGTAAATATATGGAGTTTATTTTAATATAATATACTTTTGTCCAGGTTTGACAAAAAGGTTCTTTAAAAATTCTAATATATTCATCATCAATAAAGGAACTAGAAAAAATATAATCAAAACTTCCCTATATTAATATTAGTGATTAGAAAACTATGCATTTGGCTATTTTTATAACATTACAAACATGACCACCATCTTCAAAATAGTGCAGTGCTCAAAAACTTACTTGTCCTTCTAACATCTCTCTTGGTAAGCCTGTCCTCTCCTGTTCTGAGCTGTTAGTTCTTCGTATAGAAAGGCTATGTGATTTGCGTTTTTGTTTTGCTTGACGAGCAGTTGAACAACTTCCGCTTTCTGTGGGCATTACTTCTAGAAGGTAGTGTTCTGGTCACTTCTGCAATAAGCTAAATAAAAGCAGAAAAAATATACTTTATTTCTGATATAGCAAATTGAAATTAAAAATGGATAATTATTGCTTTTACTTACAAGCCTCCTCACTATGGCTAATGTTTACATATAATACAGAACATGACAGATTAAAATGTTTTAGGGTAGAGACCACAGCCTTTGTGAAAAGATAAAATTTTTTCAAATGTCATTAACATTTTTAAAATTAAATTGCAAAAAGCATAAAAAAGAAATTCTTCCTTAGCTCAACTTGCCTCAGGCTCTAGTTACTACTCAGAAGTAACTAACTATAACTGCATATTCTAAACTAGTTGATTCTAGAGTAATACTCTACAGTCCAAAAGAAACACAACACAAGCCATACATGTACTTTTAAATTTTCTAATGGCCATATTTTAAAAGTAAAAATATGTGATTTTACTCTTAATGATTCATTTAACCCACTATGTCTAAAATAATAATTGCCAATATAAGAAACATTAATGGTGTCCCTTATTGCTTTTGCTGTGTTCTGCCACCATGAACTGTTGCCCCTTTGCCATGTGCCACCCTTCCCTGGAGCCAGCTGACTACGGACTGAAACCTCTGAGGTCAATAAACCTTTTCCCCTTTAAAAAAAAAAAGAAAGAAAAGAAACATTAATGTTGTGTTTCATAACGTATTTTTATGATTACCTCTTCAAAACTCAGTGTTTATTTTATATTTGCATTACATCTCAATTCAAACTTGTCACAAATCTCTAGGTAATTTTAAACACTATGATGTACCTACTTTGGGTATTTTCTACTAATTTCATGCCATTTTCCATTCCTCCTATCAATATATCACTATGTTAACATTAAGTAATAAATTTACATATTACATCTTCCTTCTTCAGTTACAGATTCATCTGTTTGAAATATTACCCACTTATTTTCTGCTACTAGGTATTGATGCCTTCTCTGAATACAATCCTGTCACTATGCCAGTTCAGGTAAACGGTGACAGGCAGCACTGGGCTTCACTGCAACAGAATGTTTTTCCTCCAGGACTGTATAAGGCCAACTAGAACATGTCATGACCCAAAGTCATCTTGATTTAGAAAAGGAAACTGGCCTAAGTCTCAGTATTAGGGGGATGGATCTATTAAATGAATATATCAACTTGGTGGGAAAATATGCTGACCTTTAAAATAATCATAAGGACTATATAAACATCCACATTCCAAGCAGGCAACTGAAACTGTGACTTCAGTGACTGCATAATAGGTCATTATCCCAAGGCCAGCTGGACTGTCCAACCTCTTAACTCCTCAAACACCTGTGCCAGATGTGACAAAAATTCCTCAGTATCCCCTTCCTTCTAAGTGGCTCTCACTTACTTATCATAACATTTCCATACTTTGCTACAAAATGATTTAACACAAACTCAGTTTCTTTTAAAGAAAGTTTATTCAAGCAGAAAAAAGTGATATAACAGAGACAGAACACATTCACACCAAAAAAAATTGAATGTCTTCCATAAAGATTACCGATAATGACAGACAAAATATTTCCTATTTGGTTTATTAAGTATCCTAACTACAATACTAAATACTGATGCTAAAAGTATTTTTTATCTCTTATAAAAATATAATTCATTTTGATTATTTCTAGTATTATAATTAAAGTAGTAGAAATCAATTAACTTAACCTTAGAATATAAGGAAATCTGTAATTCTTTTTTCTAAATAGTGCTACTATACAAATGTGGCTACATTGAATTTTAATTAAATTGTTTCCTTTTTATTATATACTACTTGAAATGCACAGAGATAACTCTTGCATTAAAAATTAAAAGCTAAGCCTATCCTAAAAGTCAGAAACCTACAAAAAAACTTTGCATATTATTCATATGTAAAACTATTCTTAAAAGTTTTCATTTATTTGTAAAACTTTTAATTGCTCTTAACCAAAACCTGTGTAATAGTTATGAAGTCTCCGTTTTACCACAAATACCAGGATCACCCTTTCTACTTAACTTTTTATTTTGAAATAACTGCAGATTCATGGGAAGTCACAGAGATGGTACAGAAAAATTCCTTATTTCCCCAATGGTTATATTTCAAACAGTACAACTTCTTGATCAATTTGTTAATTTTGACATGTACGGTTTTCACATTGCTCCACATATAAATTGTGTGTATAGTATTCACTTTGTGTATACGGTTTTCATTTTGTTACATATACACATTTCTATAACTATTACCAAACCTTCCCATCATTACAAAAATCACACTCAGGAGCCAGGGATGTAGCTCAGTGGTGCCGCACCTGTCTGGCAAACGCAAGGTCCTAACTTCAATCCCCAGTAAAAAAAAAAAAAAAAAAAAAATCACATTCATGCTCATCATTAGTCATCCCAACACCCCTTCCCAGCCACATCCCTAATTCCTAACAACCACTAATTTGTATGCCATCTCTACAGTTTTGTCACTTGGAGAATGTTACATAACCATTCATCTATTGTAAGAAGTTCATTCCATTATTTTACTATTACAAATAAATCACTATAAACAATATACAGCTTTTGGTGTGTTTTCATTTCTTTCGATGAAGAGCTCAGGAGTGAGACTGCTGAGTCATAGAATAAATGTATGTTTAGTTTCTTTAAAAAATCTTATTGAAATATAATTCACATACCATATGAATCACCAATTAAAAATGTACAATTTGCCAGGTGTTAAGGCACACACCTGTAATCAAGGCAGAAGACTGCTGGGAGTTCAAGGCCAGCCTGAACTAAAGAGCAAGACTCTTGTCTCAAAATAAAACAAAACAAACACCAAAAAATAAAAAAAACTAAAATGTACAATTCAATGATTTTCAGTACATTCAGAACTGTGGGATTCTTCAGAACAATTTTATCACTCCAAAAACAAACCCCATTTCCTTTAACAGCCACTCCCATTTTCCCCACCCATTCCCCACAGCCAGCCCTAGGGAACCACTAATCTACTCTTTCTATCTGTAAATTTGACTATCCTGGCCATTTCATACAAAGTCAACCCTAGGAATCCAAGGGTTTCTTGTCCACTGGTCTGGGTCTTTATGTGCAGATTCAACTGACTGCAAATCAAAAACATTTGGGGAAAAATTCTCTGTACAAAACATGTAGACTGTTTTTCTTGTCATTAGTTGCTAAACAACATAGCATCACAACTATTTACAAAGTGTTTACATTGTATTAGGTATTTATAAATAACCAAGAGATGGTTTGAAATATATAGGAGGATGTTAACATCTGCAGATTTTAGTATTTTCAAGAGCACTGGAATCAATGATGAAATTATACAATATATCATCTGGTGCAGTATGCGTGGTTTCTTTCACTTAGCCCAATGGTTTCAAGGTTCACTTATGTTGTAGCTTACACGGAAATTCACTATTGCCAAATATTTCACTGTGTGGATATGCCACATTTTATTTGTCAATTCATCAACTGATAGGTATCTGGCTGTTTCCATTTTTTAGGATATTATTTTTATATATCTGTATGATTTCATTTCTCTTGGGTGTATACCTATGAATGGAATTCCTAGGACATATGACAACTGCATTCAGCAATGCTCACTTTTATTTTTTCTTTTTAAGAAAATATTTTCCAAAGTAGCTGTATATTTTTTACATTACCAGCAGCAATGTAAGAGATTCAGTTCCCTAAGTCTTCAACATTTGATATTGTCGCTATTCTTAATTTTAGCTGTCCCAGAGGTGTGGAACATGTCACTGTGGTCTCAATTTGCATGTCCTTGATGGCTATTAATATTAATTCTCTTTTCCTGTTTGAATATCCTCTTCAGTGAAATAACCCTTGTCTATTTTCCAAAGGATCTAAGAGTTGTCTAATTGTACTATATGAATTTTTCAACAATTTGAAATAACTCATATATGGATTGCAAATAATTTCTCCCAACCTGTTACTTGTCATTTCATCCCAACAGTTTTCCACAAAGCAAAAGTTTTTAAATTTGATGATTCTATGGCTCATACTTTTGGAATCATGTCTGAGAACTTTACACCAATCCCTAGGTCCCAAAAGTTTTTTCCTATTTTCTCCTAAAAATTTTAAAATTTCATGTTTTGCATCTTAAGAACTATTTGATGTTCATATTTTTATAAGGTTGTGAGGTTTACTTTTTGGTTTTGCTATGGTATTCAATTATTCCTAGCACTATTTGTTAAAAAGAGTGACCATGCTATATTTGTTTAATTACTGAGGTAAAAGTCACATGATATAAAAGTTACCATTTTGTAGTGTACAATTCAGAGAGGTACATTCATAATCACCATCCATCCTCCACTGAATTATTTTGATGTCCTTGTCAAAAATCAATTCCCTAGGGCTGGGGATTTAGCTCAGTGGTGCCGCTGCCTGCCTCGCAAGCACAAGGTCCTGTGTTCAATCCCCGGTAACAAAAAAAAAAAAAAAAAAAATGAATTGCCTGTAGGTATGTAGAACTATTTTTAGTTTTCTATTCTGTTCCATTGATCTATTCACATAATAATAGTTTCAATTATTACACTACAAGTCAGAATTAGTTGCAGTGATTCCCATCACTTAACTCTCAAAATTGATTTGTTTTTTTAGTTCCTTGCTCTTCCTTTGAAATTTTAGAATATTCTTTTCCATATCTACAAAATTCTTGCTGGAACTTTGATAAAAATTTTGCTATATCTGTATATGAATGTAAGGATTGGTATTTTTATTATGTTGAGCCTTCCAATTTATGGAAACAATTTATATCTTTCCTTAGTTCTGCATTACTATGCAAAAATTGTTTTCTCTTTAGTGTTTCAGCAATTTTAAATAATGGTATATTTTTATTTTAGTTCTACATGTTAACTGCTAGCATATAGAAATATAAATGATTTTGTGTATTAAACTTATATCAGGCATTCTTGCTGAATTTACTTATAAATGAGATTATTTTGTAAACTCCTTTGGATTTTCTATTTATGCTATCATCAAGAAAGAG